GGAACTATTTTTCTTTCCCCCAATATGATTAATACTTAGGCACTTGTTGATAAGGAAAATACATCAAACAAGCGTGGCGTTGGGCTAACAGACTTTTGGAATTTTTACTTATATTGGAAACATACGCTGTTAGACGGTAGCATCCTTCTGTGCATTTCCGCAAAGCAAGTTGGGCTGAATTCTTCTTGCAAAATTCTATAATTCCTTCCCCACTGGACTTCCCCTTTTTATCTACTATAACTATAGCACGTTCGACTTCACCAAAGACGCTGAATGCTTTTTCAAGCAATTCATTTGAAATCCAAGGTGTAAGATTCTTAACTTTAATTGTTGAATCAAGAGGAGCAAATCGAACTTTAAGTGCACGTCCCTTAACCATTTTGCGATCTAATTCATGTTTTGCTTTCTCAGCATTTACCCTGTAATCCTATAAAGAATAACGATTATGTTGCAGTTTAACAATGTATATATGTATATAAATATGTATATAATATATGCATCATCATAAATCAGGCAGCCAAACATTATTATCATTTTTTATCAAACGGTAATTAATTTAATCATTTTGTTTATGTAAGAATATTATAAAAGGAAAAAAACAAAACTTATTGAACTTACCATTTTAACAAATGAAAAGTTTTTCTCTTTATTTAGAAAAAGTTCAGATGTTTCACCATATTGCTGAAACATCTGTTGGATCTCCTCTTCTGTAACGTCATTTGTCAAGTTTCCAATATACAGACGATTACGACCACTGAATTTTTTTTCTGTAGTTTCTTGAGGTGGCAAATCATGCGTAGGTCCACTAATACTCATAATTCGCTCTATTAAGCGATCCTAACCATAAAAATAAGAGCAATATTAATTATCTCTAATATATAGAAATTTTGGTAAAGAAAAGCAACATTCATTGGTAGTAAATATTGCTCACTCATAGTAATAGAATTATTAACGCAAAATTTGAGATGTACCGATCTGAGAAATATTAACATAATCACTCAAGTACTTCTATATTTTATTTAAATTATATTTGCCATAGTAAAATATGCAGTAATATAGTAATGTATAGTAATGTAATAATATATGAAATATAATCAATTATGTGTACTGAATCACAAAAAAAATTAACTTTGCCTTAGTCACAACACTACAATAAATTAAAGTGTGTAATACAAACAGAGATTATAGTTATAAATAATAGTGTTTAATAAATAAAAAAACTAGCAGTTTACAACCAGTCATAGTATGTATTACGCATCAGTTTATAGCAAATATGGCGATAGAAACAAAAAATATATTCTTTAAATGTATATAAAAAGAAATATATATAATTCTTACGGGTCCATCGCTATATCTGTTTCCTCCACTCATTCCGCCACCACGTCCACCAGAAAAATGTGCTCCTCCTCTCCGACCACGCGGACTGCGATTATCGCCTGAAGGATTCCGTTCCCGTGGATTTTCATTACTATTTTCTGTAGAAGTATTCTGAGGTTCTTGCATTACTTTAGGTATTTCAATTTCTGCCATCGCTCAGATGTTTCAAGCAGTAATTATTAAGAACAAACTCAGTCGTGAAACAGTTAGACTCACTTTCCGGCTAAATAAATCGTTCAATATGGCGTCACGAAACCAAGTGGTAAGATGGCGATCCACCAGTGGCAGCCAGAGGGCAGAGGAGCAATTCCCCTATGTAGCTCCATTCTCAGTGCATTATGGGTACATTTCTCTAAGAACATGATTGGTTATTTCATTAATAGGAATTACATTTGATTGGTTAATTCAGATAGATAAAACGTTTAATGGATGTATGATAGATGAGATTAACCGGAAGTGATATTTTAACACTAGCTGTTACATAGAGATATAAAGATAGAGTGCGTGAGCGAGTTGAAAAAGCGATATAGGAATAGAAAGAGAACGCTGCATTTATACGATAAATGAATATGGATTATGCTTTGCTATGTGCTGTCGCAGATTTGTAACTCCATGCCATGGATATGAGAATATTTCTATGTTCATGATTCATGCACGCTCCCGTAGCGTTAATTTGAAGAATATTACGTACCACAATCATATAAACATATCTGGACCACGGTTATATAAAATTTATGTGAACATGTCTCATCTTGTTAGAGATGAGTAAAGAAATCGCCGATGAATATAGGTGAAAGTGAGGCGAAAAGTTCGCACCATAAATTACCACATCTACTTATTTATTTGCACATTTATTTATTTATAAATTATTAATTTTTATTTCGATGCATTTTTAGTTCATTATTATAAATCTACATACTTTTATTTTCTATTCTTTTGAATATCTTAAAACAGTATCAATAAGGAATAAAATCCAAACAGTATTACAAGACAATCAAATAGTACGATATTATAGTATAGTATATTAGTATTATAGCTATGTTCACGCATATATACATATATATATATGTGTGTGTGTGTATATATATATATACTATTACGTAAACTATATCTACGCTTATGTATGTATAAGGTTAGAATAACTACACGAAGGTATACGATATACTATAGGGAAAGGTATTCTAAATAGAATAATGCTTCGTGCCAAAAAACTTCCTTGTAATAGACTTAAAGTCTGATATACAATAATTATGATTATTATTATATCTTCTGCGAATGAAAAATACATATTCCTTTCAGAAAAACATTCATACAATTCCAGTTTTGCATACAAAAGTTTATATTCTTCTTAGTATCCAGTTAATGATATTAAAATTATTAATTTTTGATAGATACTTCATTTACTGCAGCATTCATTTAAAACAACATTTATTATTAAGAAAATATTTTAATATTCCTATAATAATAAATTCTTTATATAAAGCTTTTGGTTTATATTTCCTTACTAATATGTTACTGTATTAGAGTTTATTATTAAATTTTTTAATTAATAAATTATTAAATTTAAAAATAATTTTTTATTATTCTTAATTTAAGAATACGTAGCATTTCGTTTTAAAACTTTTATTTTCTGGGTTTATTATTATTGTCTCAATAATAAAGAAATCTGAATAAAAAAGTATCTAGTAATTTTTTAAATTTTCAAAATAAACCGCAACTTTTTGCGCATGCGCAAAGCGAGACCTTTCCTCCATGTTGATCTTTTTCAACTCAACTGACGCAATATAAAATATGACCCTGGTCCGTGGTTTCCCATGTTTTCAGTTTTCAATATGTATACGTGTGAGTGTCTAGAGCTCACATTTATTTAGTATCTATTTATTTAGTATTTAGAGCTGTTATATGAGCTTTCCTTGGTTTTATTTTACTTTAGAGTCCCAAAAGGTTAAAGGCGTGAAATCCGCTGGTTCAAAAGTTATGGCTATGTAAAACCCGAGAATTTCGAATCGCCGGCCATCGACTTTCCAAACATTTAGTCATTCATTCATAAAATAACGGCTCGGTCTGACATAATGTTGTCACGAAAATGGTTACCACCAATAAACAATTATAACTCAAATTTGAATATTAGTTAAACAATTTTTTGTCATATGTATAAATATGTAGCTAGGTTTTCCCTGTTAAAGTAAAAGCTCACCAAGAACATATTCGTCCACGAGTTTATCATTGGCTGCATTAATTACTCGAAATCGAGGCTCCTGTCTTAACCACAAATTTTATGATGTTCATCATACGGAACTGCAATCGGAGTACGTACAGTGCCAGGCTCTTAAGCTACAAAGATTAATAACGTTTTAACAACAGGATTTTGACGTTCAAAAACGTCTTAGCAACGGTATGAAAAGAGAAACCTCAGCTTCAGCCCGAAAACGGACACTTAAAGCTACTCCTTGGAACGAACATTATCATTTACGTTCCCATTGTAAATACCCAAGTGTACGCTGTAAATTGAATGTAACAATTGCAACTGTAGATAAAGATGGTTTCAGATACATGTTCATACCTGCTACTTTATCGACCCTTATTTAGCTTGTTGATTATTTTGGAGAAGCGCGCCAGCAGTCGCATGTAAGTAGGACAAGTCAGCGGTTGATCAGGCGCGGCAATTATAAGGCGCTGTTGTTACTATTAGAATTTAAAACTTTCATTTTTTCCTATGCTTGTTTATTGTTTTCTTTCAGAGTTACTAACATTTGACTGTCTACCTAAAAGCTATGAAAATTTTGATATTAATAGAAAGAATTCAATGGAATATATAACCAGGGAACATCTAGGTATGTCAGAAATTCAATTCTACTTTGTTTCTAAAATACTATAAATATATCACTTTCTGGACTATTCTTTCTTTAGTACCTTATAAAATACCTTTTATTTCATAATCGAAAACAATGTTTCATCAAGAAATGTGTAACTGAATGTGATCACGATAAAACGTAACATTTTTACGGAATTATAGAACGGAAAGATAGATGGATCAAAATTAGATCGATCCTATCTTGCAGACATAAAGCTGCAGCCATGCCAAGAGACAAACGGACAAAAGTAAGAAACGAGTAGCGAATACAGATCGGTTCTATCAAGTGGTCACGATCGTTAGTCACGAAAATATCGATATCACATCAAACTGAAAGTTTCAACAATACTCGTGTGCATATATACACGACGAGATAAAACTAACGACCGACCGGGGTCTGATGGCACGCGATGTACGACATGCAAATTCTTCGCGGTAACTCAACATCGTACGCGTCTACTACTCTTTTCGCAGCAATGTAAGACGAACGACGATCGAGAATTTTGTCGAAAAACTAACGGCAGAGAACGAGAAGACAAGTTGCGTTGATAGGAAGAATTGATTGGGTCATCCCCGCGGCAACCAATGGGCAAACACAAATGAAACGGAGAGAAAGTCTGGCTATGGGTTTCGAGACTACCCTCAGTTGCTTGACCGATTTCCGCACGCGATATCCCCATCTCGAGACACATCACGTGCACGATCGAAACCAACCTGATTATCGTAAGAAAATTAACTGCAATTTTAACGCTGTATTTTTTCTTATACCCAATAATCATTTCGAATAACTTTCGAAGAAATTGGAGAATAATGTAAAAGAGGAAAGACGAATCATGGAGGTTTTGTAAAAGACGGCCTTAAAAACTGATTATTATTAGAGTTAGTTTTTGTGTATTCTCAAAATGAGGCTCGTGGGATTTACGATCGCCATGTATGGATTCCTCGGATTTTGCAGTGAATCTGCGGTTTACGCGCAGAGAAACGTCGTGGGCAATCGAGGGTCTACAAAAACAAGAGCTGTTAATCTTTGTGAGTAATTAAATTTTGAATCTCTCAATTTTCAAATCTGTAAATTTTTAAAGTTAACTGTTCAGATCCATTAAATTCCGACGATTTTAACTTTAATCTTTTCTTTACACCGTCCTTCTCCCTAGATCTTATTAACGATGAAGCCAACAAAGTAGCAAACAGTAGCATAATAGCGGCGTTAGAGACAATCAATGAAAAATACCCGAATTATTTGGGCGAGGTTTGGAGCGTTCAAGTGAATGAATCTGACGTCAACGATACTCTCGATCGTATCTGCAAACCTTGGGATTCGGCTGTAAAAAAAGGAGGAACCGGAGTTCCAGATTTAGTTATAGACACGACGACAGCCGGTTTAGGGGCCAAGATATCTAACTCATTCACAGCTGCTTTGGGAATCCCCACGTTATCCGCACAATACGGTCAAGAAGGAGATCTTTTATACTGGAGGAACTTAAACACAGACCAGGAATCCTATTTGATTCAAGTGATGCCTCCGACAGATTTAATACCAGAAGTAATCAGACAATTGTGTATTCAGTTGAACATAACAAACGCTGCGATTCTGTACGATCGTAATTTCGTCATGGATCATAAATATAAAAGTTTGTTGTTGAACGTGCCAACAAGACACGTGATCAACGAAGCTTCTCAGCAAATAATGGAAATGAGAACACAGTTACCTCGTTTACGAGATTTGGATATAGTGAATTATTTCATTCTTGGTGATGAAAATACCATCAATATAGCTCTGGAAGCGGCAGAAGCTTTAAACTTTACTGGCAAAAAGTACGGTTGGTTTTTATTGACTCCGGAACTTAACGTTTGGCCGAGATGCGAGTGTAAAAATATGAACATCCTCTTCATGAAGCCAGAATTTAACAAGAAAAGCCCAATAGAGTCATCTTTGTCAAACCCGGTTATTTCTTCCGCATTTTATTATGATTTAATACAATTAGGCGTTCGGGCAATGAAATCGGCCTTGGATGACGGAGAATGGCCAGTAGAACCTAAGCATATCACATGTGACGAATATGATAAAACTAATACCCCAGAAAGAAAGGTGAACTTTTTTAATAGGTTAAAGGAAAGTTATAAAAACATGACACCGACTTATGCTGGAATTAAATGGGGATCGAAGAATGGAGAACACCGGGCCAAGTTCGAGATGTCCATTCATTTAGTGGACATAAAAGATGGGATTGTTTCAAACACTATCGATAGCGGATCTTGGAACGCGAGTATCTCCGCACCATTGCAGGTAAGCTTGTGTATACAGAATATCGATTTCTTTTCTCAATATCTTCCTTTCTTTGCGTTTACTTTTCTTCCTTGTTATTTTAAGCATTCGTATTTAACTTCAATTCCTCTACGAGTTTCAAGTATCAAAGTATGTTCGACATCCAGAAGAAAGCGTAGAAAGTTCATCGAGCGTGAAATTAATCAGACGAACTGATAAAGTGTGCACGTGATATTTCTAAGCAAGATTAGGTCAGTCTATTGATCAGCAAGAAAAAATTATGGTGTGTTTGAGTCACGCGACGATAGGAATCTGTTCGATAATCGAATGTCACGTCTCTAGTGTAATATCGTGCAGAACTAATCACTACAGATCACATTACGATTAAATGAAATGGATCGAATTAAACAGAGATGAATGCTTCGTTAAATTTCTTCAAATTAGGAGTACTAAAATATCCTTATAATTAAATTTTTGTATTTTAAATCGATGAATTATAAAGTGGAAAATTAATTTCTTAGTCGTGACCTTCATTCGGCTAACCATCACGATAGTCATGCCCCTGACATGTAATCGTTATATTTACTTACCGTTATTGCTGATAACGGTGCACGCTAATGGAAATAGTTCATGCAACTGTATTTGTTTATCCAGTATGTAACGCGAAACCCTTCAACTACGTAATTGCAACTTGACACTCGCGAGTCATGCATCGAGTAGGTATTTATCCATTCGTTTCCAGATATCATCGTTACTTACCCTAATAAAAATATAACTGCGTTCATCGAAGTCTTATTATCAGAGGAAACGCTTAGAAATATCTTTACAGAACCATCCCAGTCCTGCAAAAGAATTCGGTCTCTTAATAATTCAATTTTTACATTTATCTCTTTAATCGACTCAATTCGAATTTAATTGCATTTTCTCTAAAGATAACGAACAACGAAGTGATGAATACCACAGCGGTGAAGAGCTACCGTGTAGTCACCATAATTCATCCACCATTTGTAATGTACAACGAAGAAAACGGCACGTATTACGGTTTCTGCATCGACTTGCTGGACGAGATTAAAGACACGGTAGGCTTTCAGTACGAAATACGAGAAACGGAGGACAGACGATATGGAAGTTTAAATCCGAATGGGAGTTGGAACGGAATGATGAAAGAGCTGATCGACAAACGAGCTGATATCGCTCTAGGATCAGTCTGGGTCACAGCGGAAAGGGAGAGGGTGGTCGATTTTACGGTGCCTTACTACGATCTGGTCGGTCTGTCCATCATGATGTTGAAAACGAAAACAACCAGCTCGCTATTCAAATTCCTCACGGTATTGGAGAACGAGGTCTGGTTCTGTATCCTAGCCGCTTATCTCTTTACCAGCGTCTTGTTGTGGATCTTCGACCGTTGGTCTCCGTACAGCTACCAGAACAATCGAGAAAAGTACAAGAACGACGACGAGAAAAGAGAATTCAATTTAAGGGAGTGTTTCTGGTTTTGTATGACTTCCTTGACACCACAGGGTGGCGGAGAGGCTCCAAAAAATCTTTCCGGACGACTGGTCGCTGCCACTTGGTGGTTATTCGGATTTATAATCATCGCATCGTACACGGCGAATTTAGCTGCGTTTCTGACAGTGTCCAGGCTAGAAATTCCAATCGAAACGTTGGAGGATCTCAGTAAACAGTATAAGATTCAATATGCGCCGGTGATAAATTCTTCAGCTTATATTTACTTCAAGAGAATGGCTGCCATTGAATGGAAATTCTACGAGTAAGTAATCGAAAAGATTAGGATTACTTTCAAGGTTGTAAGTCGAATACTTTGAAGATCAAAGGATGAAGAGCATTGATCTTGTACATTTTAGCATCTGGAAGGAAATGAGCCTTAATGATAGTTTGTCAGATGTAGAGAGGGCAAACTTGGCAGTGTGGGATTACCCTGTCAGTGACAAATACACGAAAATGTTGCAAGCCATGGAAGAGGCTGGATTTCCAGCTTCCACCGAAGAAGCGCTACGACGAGTTCGGCGTCTTGATTCGAATAACGAGTTCGCTTATATAGAAGATTCAACGACCATTAAGTATCTTACTATGACGAACTGTGACCTGGTCCAAGTAGGCGAAGATTTTTCGAGGAAGCCTTACGCCATTGCAGTTCAACAGGGATCGCCATTGAAGGATCAGTTTAACAATGCGTATGCATCTTTTGTCTACCTTAAATAGCAAATTAATTACCGAGTAATTTAATGTCATTGCCTAATTTCCTTTTGATGTAGAATTTTGATACTACTAAACAAGAGGAAATTGGAGAAATTAAAGGACACATGGTGGAAGAAGAACCCTGACAGAAAAGACTGCGACGCAGAAAACAGTCAAAGTGACGGTATAAGCATCCAAAATATCGGAGGAGTATTCGTTGTTATATTTCTAGGTATTATTTTTGCTTGTTTCACTTTGGCCTTTGAATACTGGTACTATCGACACCGTACGAAGATCACGAAGATTAATCTGAACAGCACAACCAAAGGGAAAGTCACACAAGTAAAACCACTTAGATTCAACTTACAGCCGGCGCCTACGCACGGTTTTCAGAATAGCCAACTCAGACCAAGATTTTGAGTGTGTCTGTGATAAAGAAAAAAAAAAAAGATATTCATGAATCGATCATCGTGTATTACAGATATATCACTTCAATGTTAATACTTACCGTTGGTTAGTGTTCAATAAAAACATAAAAAGACGATGTACAGGAATATCTAAAAAATTAACAATTTTTTTTATTACAGAAGAAAGTCTGGACCAGAATTATAAATGACATAGAGCTTCAGCGTTTGCAATGCCTTTATTTGGTTACTCCCTTTGCGTACATTACTTCGCGCAGAGAATACATATTCGGATATTCTTTCGTTTCTTTTCCCTCATATTCCATTCACTTTCTTCGCATCACAATTCACGTACATTGCTTGTCATTTTAACTAACCTTCCTCGCGACGTCTTAACATATCACCATTTTTTTTTTCTTTTTTTTTTAAATAACGTTTTACTCACCCTTTTCCTTTCGCTCTAAAAGGCATTCGTTTTTTTTTCTTTTTCTAATAACGTTGTTCTCACGTTTTCGTCCGCTTATCCGCCTTTTCGCCGAGGTAGGCGTAGTATTTTGTTTTCAAGTTATACGGTTCTTTTTTTTATATACATATATATTTTTTGTTTTTCCTCACACGTACGCTTTCAATAATATTTTCCGATATTCTCTCTGAGGGAGCATTGGAAAAGCATTGGATACTCTGGGTTTCTTTAAAACGTGGGATCTGGTGGATGATGGAATTGGGGGACAGGGTATTAATCATCTAGGATGTTAAATTATAATTAGGGGGATATAATTAAGATAATCCATTAATAGTTACGAAAAAAACAACAAGAAAATAGAATAGTACTTCGATGGTTCTCGGTTTAATATCGTGCGGCACTTTTTTTTTTTATCCTTTTTATTTATACTTATAAGTACTCCGTCCTCGAATATTACTCTTTTGGCTTGCTCTTCTCTTTCTTTATTCTTTTCTTTAAATTAATTCCATTCTTTTTTTGGCATTTTTTTTCTTAGTTACATTTTATTTTCATTTTTTTCTCTCTTTCCTGCAATGCATCAAATGCAAACACACATTGAACGCCTGCACATCAGATGAGAAACAAAAAAAGGAAAACTGCACGCTACAATTGCTAGAAAAATCAGCGCACTAATTATATATATATATCTTTTTTTTTCGTTTTCGTTTCTTTCTCCTCGAAAAAGTTCACATAAAATTATCAACAAGCTACAAACGAAATCTCATTGACTACGTTCTCCATACTTCTCTCCTTTTTCATCGCATGCGCTCTCATCGTTAAACGCTGCGTAAACATATACACCTTTTTTTTTCTTTCTCTATTTCGTTCCATTTCTCTTTCTGCATTTTGTTTATCAAAGGATTAATAATAATTATCTAAATGAACGTTTAATATTCCTCTCGTCTTGCTTTGTTCGCGTTGCGACCATTATTTATTTATTTCTTTTAACTCTTTGTTCAACGACAACGGGGGATACATTTTTTTTTCATTTAACGGCACCATCTTGGATACATGCATAACAAATTCCACATGCCAAGAGGCCCCCCAATGTCATATTTTTACTTTTTCTCTTTTCTTTGTTAACAATTTGCGTCTTCGTCTTGAGAAAAAAAGTATAGCTACACCTCAAACTCTCCAGTCACAAAGCATTTGTAGCAGCTCATATCTATCCAGTTCATAAGGTCAACGGACGCAAAGTCGTCAGAGGCTGGCATCCGAAACTGCTACTGTGCCTTCTATCGGAAAAAACATATTAAATATGTAACGTTAATTGTAACTGCAGTAAATTCGACTAAGTACTCGGACCATATACATTCTACGTTACGCCAAATCGCGCGCTTCAAATAAAAACCCGATCGATGTAGTAATGCATCGAGACCAATCTCTCAAGAGGTGTTTGCTCAATTAAATGTTCCTCTATTTCGTAACATGTACTACATATCACGTGATTAATTACGCGTATATAAGTACATATACATATACACATCTTCCAATTTCAGGTTACATAACAACAAATGTAACAAAAAAAAAAGTATTTCAACGTTCGTAGCTCTAGTAACATAATACGTAACGTATAACAGTTTTCAATTTGACTGTTCAGCCAATAATCTTTGGTTTTATTGTATATCTGTACACATCGTACACATTCGAACAAATGAGAGAGGTCTTATTAATTTGTGTATGTTTTTTTACATAACGTTTTTTTCGTTCGTATTTTCCAGCACGATGACGGTTGACGAATAGTACAATGGAGCGCAATAAATCAAAACGGAAAAAAAAAGAAAAAACCAAAGCCTTCGGCACGTAGTATGATTTCCTTTTTATGTACACTTTATTACCTTTTCCTATCATTGTGCAGAGGTACATTAGACCGTACCCAGTCCAGTTGACCCAATGTATAGCAATCTTTCTCGATTTTCTCTTCTTCGCGAATAATAGTATCTTCCATTCCGATCGGAGTATAATGAAAATGATCCTGTTCGGAGAGAATTCTGCGTTTGACCGGAGATCGAATGGGCTCGGTTTGAACGCACTTGTCACATTGACGCACCCTGAATTTCAACGTTAAATTCGAAGATACTGGAGGAAGCGGCGAGTCATTCTCTCGATACTCCATGTAAGGACTCTCTCCACCAGGAAGATATAACAAATTTCCTGACTCAGATCTGCGATACGCGACCCGCTCTAAAGTATTGTTCACAGGAAATGTTGTCCCATCGGCCCACTGACCATCATCCTTTATTGGACGAAAGTGTGTCCGCGCGGAAGTGAGCAAATCCTCGTCCGGTTCTGGAAGGCTGTTTACCTTCAGATTTGAACGAGATTCTTTGCGTGTTCCAATGGGAGTTTTACGCGGTGCGACTGGAAAGAAGCAGCTACCTGTCTGAGGACTGTGGCCCAAGGTAGCTAAGTTACTACCTAGCCCTTTCCAGCACCATGATCCATCCATAGCTGAGTCAGACCAGTTAACATTGCTCTCTGGAATGGTATATATCAAATATTTATTTACCATTGATTTAGATGACAAAGTTAGCAACTAACTTTTGCACGTATATGAAACAAAAAATGAGAATAAAACATACATTGCAGTACGACACAGATATTCTACGTCTAACTTGATGTACTCTGTTATTTACTTACATGTCACAACGATCTCCTATCCGTTAGATATACTTAAGTCAGTATTACTATGTCGTGACACTGGTAAATTATATGTACCTAAGATACTCACTTAATTTATTCTTGTTACTACATTCATCCGCATAATCTTCAATGCTGATTAAATCGATGTCCCATGGTATGAGCGGCGAGTCGTCAACGATAGATTCCTGATACGGCGTGTCAGTAGCATAGCCATTGTCTGAGGTGGATACAGTAAAGATTGTCTCGGTAGTGTCTGTCGGCCAAAGGGGTCCTGAAGGAATAGAAAGCGTAGGTGCTGCCCAAATCGAAGCCGTGTCCTGTGCATTGCCTGGTCCTGAATCCCAAAGTGCTTCCAAGCTCTCGTCAAATTTTGCTTGTAACTGTGCCAATCGAAGTTTATCCAATTCCAATTCTAGCTCTTTTTCCCTCTCGCGTTCCATTGATTTAGCAAATCCAAAACTTTGCTTTTCTTCTGCTCTGCGTGAATCAATACTCTATAACAAGTAGATCAACTAGTCAATGATTCTTCTTGATAATATATTACGATACTTGACTTAATCTCGGATACTTACAATGGACATTTTAGTTTTTTTATTGCGAGATTTACTAGCGTTCTTATTGTTATTGTAGTTGACTCCGTTAATTTTGTTATTATTGTTGTTGTTGTTATTATTTCCAAAATTCCTATCTTTTCTCTGAGAAAATTTCTTCAAGGTTGTAGGTTGCAAAGCAGGAAATGCCGCGTAATATCTGAGAGCTCTGTCGCGAGGTGTAAGCGACTCTAGATTCGTTTTGTTTTCACCATCGGACTTCTTGAAATCTTCTTCTTTTTCATCTGAACCACTTCCTTCTAGGTCCCGAAGTTTCATACATAATTCGTCGACCAGCGTTTCCACCCCACACTTCTATAGAATAAAATATATTGTTGATACATGTAAAAAGATATTTAAAGTATGAAATGATAATAACAATTACAATTACGCACATTATCAGCAGCACTTGTTAAACATTGCACAACAGCACGTCTTTGTTCTGTGTCTCCTCGCGTGGGCAGTTTTGCTTTAGGTCGGGCCCGAATGCGACGTCCTCCGTTTCTACCTGTACCAACTGCTTCTTCTGGAGGGCTTAGGGCCGAGTCGGGGCAGCGCAGTAGGCTGAGTACAAATCGCGAGTACGCAACGGGGTCGATTCCCAGTGCGTCCAAGCGTGCCTCGAGCCACTGGCGCAACTCCTCCTCGGCCCTGGTACCAAACACTTCACCTCCTCCAGGGGACGTCGCTATCCCAACTAGGTGCAGTGCTGGATTCCTCATTTCCTTTTAATAAAGCTCCTCCTAGACCCAGGAACTTTCACAGACTTCACTACCTCCAGGGTGATCATCTTCTCTCCTTGAAAAGCAAATCAATTTTAACAGTTGTACACTAAATGTCGGTGTGATGAAGATTAATGAAAAAGCTAGTAACAAATCAAATTACCTATTTACAATAGAGTTACAGTATTATATTATTGTCCTTTAATGTTTCAATTTTACTGAATCCACCACCTTGACATTTACTAGATTAATAAATGTTCTTTTGTTTCTTGTTACTTGTAATTTCTCTCTTTTAGTTTCGTTGCCCACAATCAATGGTGGTACTTCCTGAGATTTCAGTTACGTGGATATTAAAAATTATTTAGTTCTTGTGCACAGGTGGTGGATATCTTGTGGAAATGAGGCTGGCAGGTCTTAGCGAAGGATAACAAATATAGTCTCCTCCCCATTTTGACACTGAAATTTTATAATTCCCAAATTATCACTTTAGACATTCTGAATGCAAATAACATTTCATGCAAATAAAGAAATACGTGTTATTTCTTTTTCATTATTCTCATTTATTTATACGATAGAAAATATAATTCTTCATTTTACAATACATGTTTTGAAAACTCTATGTTATACATATATAGCAAACTTAAATTTATAGAAGACTTCATAACTGAACTATAGAATATTGTTATCACATTTCTTACATAAACAACACTAACTGGTAATTGTATAAAACTTTCACTTTCATATAATCTAAATAAGTGTTAGTGCCAATACATTAATAACTCATATATCATCCTATAAACATATAAAGTAATACAAAAATAAAACAATGTTTATTGAAACAAAGTTCTGTCAATAATAAATCTCACTTTTACTAACTTAGACTAATTTGACTAACTTAGTCTCTTGTAATAAGAAGCATTACCAAACAATATATATCACATATTACAAAAAAAATAAAAAGTAAAATGAGTCATAGATATTTAAACACAATAGAACAGAAACTGGTGACTAAGGTTAGTTCTCATATAAAATATCAAAGTACTGCTAAAAGATTTATTCTCTTTATTTCATAGATATAATATAATATAATTCATAGATATAATAAATACAAAATATATTAAATGTCTAAAGCAAACTGATTTCTTAACCCTAAGTGGGAACAATATTTACTCCAGAATAGACACAAAACATTTAATATGAAATTTTGTTTATTTTACTATAACACAAAGTCAAACATATATTTCTACTCTAAATTTTTCAATGTCATGTTTTGTAACACGTTCATTTAAATTTGGAAATTTTTTATGTAAAAT